CTTTGTTAAATTAAGAGTCATGCTTTTTAGGTCTCATGTGAATAATTTTGTTCTATGGCTCACAAATGCAGGACTTTAACTGTTTGGGTGCAGGAAGGCAGATAGGGTCTAACCGATGTGCATATAAAATGGAATTGAATCAAAATCCCTCATAGATTAAAAGGATCCTTTTATATTCCCTATGCACATAAAAGATACTAAACTAGTGTTATGCAACTTGTAATATTTTCTTGAAACAGTTTCATAGCTTTCTCTGAGGTTAGCATTCTGAGTGCCGAGGAAGACACTGCATCTGCTGTATTGTCAGAATGAAATTTATTTGTCCATATAAATAGCAAGTGCTTTAAGTCTTTGTGGAAAGGCATCTACTGGGATTTTCAAAATTTTTAGCAGTTAGTAAAGGTACTCTGTAGTTATGACAATCTTCAGTCACTGGTTAAAGCATGTGACATTATTCTCAAAGAAATTTTACCTGCAGAAATTTGTGAATGAGAAAAATCATGTAATTTAATGTATGCTTCTATTCTTAAGAAACAATATCACTTATAGTAACAGCATGAATAGCACAATTAAGAACTTAAAAGCAATTAAGACTGATGGCTGTACTTTATCCAGGTATCAAACTCTTCTCTAATGCCCTGACAACATGACCAGTATCTCAGCTTTTTGTATCATTCCTGATCTCCTACTGATGTCCGTGTGCTGCATTTTTCCCAGGAGTGCACAGACTCCTTTTCTAAAATGTTTTTATGGCCTCCTCCAGATCTGTGTGTAAATGAACATCTCATAGTCCTTTAATGTGTTATTTGTGACAGTCTTTGGGATCATTGGGGAACTATTGTCCCACATTTCCAGATAGAACTTACTAGGTTCCTTAAAAAATTACTGTGTTGATATTAAATACCGTTTCTTTGCTTTAAAAATTAGCTGCATCACAAGGACATGTCATTCCATGAGTTCATCCCATTAATCCTATATTCTCTGTTTAATGGCTTTGTTTGTCTTTTGATTAGACAATGTCTTTATGTATGTCCTAGACAGTGCTTGATGGCTAATTATAGTCATTGTTTCCCATCCAACAACAGTAGAGAACTGAAATTTCTTGGTAGAATGCCTCTCTTTATGACAGGTCTCTAGACTTACTGTGCACACACACAAGTTCAGTTCAATCTAGTCAATTTGGGTGTTGAACTGAACTGGCCTGAACCTCTGGATCTTAAGAGGTTCATCTATCACTATATAATGCAGCTGGACAGAGGGAAACAGTTGAATAGAGGACAGTATGCCAACTCTTCCTTCACTTATTCCTGCTACATTAAGGAAGTTGATAGAATGGAGCTAATCCATCTGCCCACAATTTATTCCCTAGCAATATGATATAGTTTCCCCATTTCATGAGCTCAGTCTTTGACTAATTTTATTAGAAGTCCTTCCATAGCATCATTTTAATCACTTTTCATTCATTTTTAGTTATGTGTAAAATAGTAAAAAAAGATGGACTAAAGAAACATGAAAGGATTTCATGAGAAACTCAGGTCAGCTTAAATAGAAGCAGATCCAATAAAGTTCAGTCAGTGAGCCTACAAAGACCAGCAGAAAAGCTCTCTAAATTGGCTCTTTCACATGAAGCTTTATTCTGCCATGTCTAAAGTGCAGTCAGAAGGAGTGAGACAGCCCTGGCACGCCCTGAGAGGAGGCAGGGCTGCAGTGCCTGCAGGAGGTGCCTGGGTGACCTGCCAGGGTGATGGGCAAGGCTGGCTGAGACTGCAGGGTCGGGGCTGATGGGTGGGGAGGTCTCACGCCTTCTTTACCAAGAACACTCAGTGGGGCTTATCTCATCCACCAGTTTTTACTCATGCATGGATGTTAAAAAGATGCAGGATTTTAGCTACATATTGCTTGGATGCAACACTAAAATGAATTGCTGTAATCTTAGTTATATTTCTCTTGTTATTTAGTTTAAAACATTCTGATACATTGGTCCTTTATTAGACTGGTAGGGGCAGTCTTCAGTGGGCTGGGCTGGGTAGAATTTCAGAAATGAGTACTGAAGCAGAAATTGCCTGGTTTTCAGCATTGAACCCACCACTCTCGTTGATTGTTAGGGGTTTTCATATAAATGCCAGAAGGTCTTTTACTGATTAGCTGACTGTAGAGCCTTTATACAGGCATTCTGAGTGGGAGTTTCCAAAGCACTCAATTCATTAACAAAGGTCTACTTCCACCAAAAAGTATGGTTTTAGCCACAGCTGTGAATGAGCAGAGTTGGATTATTCCATAAAAATACTGAAAAGCCTTCCTTTGTATTTAAAAATGCCTTCTTGAGCTGATAGGTAGCAGCAGGTGTAAATGTTAAAAGTAACTTTATTTTTGTTGCGGTTCTTTGTTACTGCTGGAGCACCAACTGCTAAAATAAACACAGATGGACATTTTTTTCCCTGATAGTGTGACTTCTCCCAGGAAAGTCAAAGGCTCCTTGCCTTCTTTTCTTTTACTGCAGTTTCACAGTAATTATTTTTCATTAAGGTGGAGGTGGTGAAAAAGGTACCTCAGCAATTAAAAATCCATTAATGGTTAAATTAGATTTCTGAATCTGAACCATTACTGCATCTACAATGGTCTTCACTGTACAACATTCATCCCATGACATCAGCTGCGTGAGTGTGGGTCAGCTTTATAATGCTTTGTTCATCTCCGTCTCTACCTGTGTAATTTTGAAAGTGTACAGTTATGATTTTTTTTTACTATTTTTATATGTCTGAGTAAAGCTATGTATGTATATGTATATGCATAAGTACATAATTGAGAGGAAATATAGTTATTGGTTATTCAAAGGTGAACTAAACAAACAAAATTCTTATTAAATTAGGCACCCAGACTATAAATAAATTAAATACCATTAACTAATAGCCTCAAATAATTTGAAGGTAATAACTGAGAAAACTCAGTAGTGTAACAGCCTTGTAAATCTTGTTTCATCTCTTAAACACTAAAACATTATGAAGAATCAGTTCACTATAGTGTGATCTGAAAGAGACAAGGAAATTGTCATTTCACATAGTAGATGGACTCCAGAAATGTTCACTCTCTAAGTATCAACTGATGTTGTTTAAAAGCTATGTAGATGTACAGAAGAAAGCTTATTCCTCTTTTATTTGCTAGTGTCCAGAAAATCTTCCATAAAGATAAAAGAAAGTTTACTAGCAAAAAGCCACACAGATCTTATAGTCAATCCTAAATGTGCACTAAAGTACATAATGCAAGGGAACTTTTCTTTTGATTCTAATCCAGAAATTACAAGGGTGTTTTAATGTCTCCCTTTTAAGAATGAAGGTTTGCAGGAAGAGCAGACACAGAGCCACAACTGTCATTTAAGTTTACATGTCTGGCTCTTATCTTTGCCATGGGTATCTTTTGTAAACATACTAAGATCACAAGATGTTTATCTTTGGGCAAGGAAAGAAGGATGTCATGTCACCACAGAACCTGAAGAAAACAATAAAAAATCTACATGCATTTAGAAAAACCCTCAGTGTCCCATATATTTATGGAGCTGCAGTAAATCTCTAGCTGCCACAGATTCATTTTGCATGTTGTATTAAATATGTCAATGATGGTCTCCTACAAAGGTAAAAATGAAACAAATAAGTCTTGTTCAGGGATTCACAATCTCCTGACATGACAGTTTAGATGTGAATTACAAATTAAATGCAAGTAGTGTTCTTTACTTTGAAAACACAACAAAGTCAAAGGGAATCAGTTACATAGCTCCCTGCATGTTGGTTGTAATTAGCAAAAACCCAGCCACATAAAATTGTTGTTAATGGTATTGCCCAATAAATGGGATTAATATAAAATTTTGTTTGCTTAAACACACTCTGGGCAGAAGGAACAAGAAACTAAATCCCTGTTATTTTATGGCACTATGTTGAGGGGAATTACAGCACATTCAGGAATTTGGGTCTCTCTTGTGAAGTTCTGTGCAAATTGTTTTACTGTAAGGTAGGAACTTTTTGATGTTAATGTTAGTTGAGTTATACTGTTAAATAGGTTTACAGCATGTCCAGATCCAGAGACTCCAAAACACGGTTTAATACTAGAAGATACTGTGCCATTCATTTTGTCATTACAGCTTTCCCTAGTTAGAGATCAAGCAGAGAACAGGACAACCCACAAGTAACCACTGTTTTATGGCTTATTTATGCACAAATACTGCCATAAACCTCTGAAGTCACTGGGAAGATTTTCTTCTTTTAATTTTTTTTTCACCACCATGGACTTCAATGAGATCAGAATAATTGTGAGACAACTATTTCATCTTGTCTTTTGATTGCATAATCAAGAACCACCAGTATTTACAAAATTCCAAGGTGTGTTCATATTGCTATCTGTTAATATTACTGTGTGCAGTGGCACATATTCTCCTAACTGGCAGTACTTTGACTCTATTAGAACTCAATTGTCTTTTGCTCATTGGTGCAATTTAGGCACAGCATCTTAGATGTAGCATAATTTCATGGCAACGGTGAAGATGTAACGGTTGTGAAATTCATCTTAGTATCATTTAAGAAAATAGATTTTTTTTCCTTTAAGCACCTGTATCTCCTGAAGCTATTTTGGGGCATTTCATCACAGAAATGAATCCCATATGACTACAAATAGGCATACAAAATTCCTAAGGGCAAATAGGTAGAGATTATATAATATGTAGAGACAAAGTAATGTTACATGAAAAGTATTTATGTTTGCCTTAATCAATTTTCTTATGTCTTTAGCAAATGTAGTATCTTGTATGTTTACTGTGGATTGGGATAATTTATTGCAAAACCTTTGTCTGAATGGAAAAAGGATTCTAAATTATATATTAAAATATATATTGAAGAGCTAAGGATGAACTAATTGTGAAAGTATCCCAAATAACTTTTTTACTCTTGCAGAGGATTTCAAGGTGATGTGGATGGGTACAGTGCTGTCATTTTCACAGATTCTATTTATTTCAGGACTGTGGTTCCAAAATTCGCCCAGAGGAGTCCTGTGGCTTGCAGCCTCTCTCTCATGAATACCTCTCAGCAATTTCACAGACAGTGTTTAAGACCTGTGAAGCTGGAGACACAAAAGGTTTGTACTTTATGCCCCTTTTTTCTGAAAATTAAATCATGCACCTCATCAAAGAAAAACTAGAAACAATATTAACTCTTTGCTATGGACATGCACTAACCTATGCACAATAAATTGAACTAATAATTCCAAATTCGTAGCAGCCAAATGAGGTACCAATCCTGGCAATGAAGAATGGCAAATGGCAAATTCCCTGCTAAAGCACTAATATTTCTTAAATAAGTTAAATTTTCAGAGAAGCCAAGCCATGTCATTTCCCCTTAGAAGATAACTCAAAAATTCTGCAAAAGTAGGTGTCATACACTGTCCTCAAGCTATCTACAGGGCTGAGGTGGAGCAGCAGAGATAAAGATATCACCTTACTTCTTCTGACAATAATGCTAAAATTTAGAAGGCTGCTTTATAGTTCAGTACAGCCAGGGTTTCATGACTCATTTCTAATCCTTTGATGTAGAGCAGAGACAGTAATTCAGGGTCCAGCCAAACACAGAAGTGACTTCCTCCTCTCTTTGTCACCATGGCGCTGTCCTTTAAAGGAAGCTCAGCATCTTCCCAAATATACACTTAATTTATACAATTTCTCTCTGTGTGTCTCTCTCTGTCTCTCTCTCTCTCTCTGTCCCTCTTATAATCAATAAATGCAAATTGGAATATACAACAGAGGAAATGTCTTTCCTTCATTTTACATCACGGAATGAAATTATGATTTATCGACCAAAAAATCTTCTTTCTTTCAGAAGTTCTCCTTTGATTCACGTCTGGTTTGAACCAGGCTATCATACCAAAATTAGCTCTTTGTTCAATATTGTTGCATTACCAATAATACAGAAGTCAGGAGACATTAACTGCGTTTGACTTCTCAGAGGGAAAGAGAGGAAGAGAACTAAAAGAGACCATGAGAACTCAACTTGTGCTAAATTCCTGCAGGTGAATCAGGTTACTGCAGTCTGTAGAAATGTGGTCTATAGCAATAACAAAATCTGGTGTGTAAGATATCACAGATATCACTTCTAATTTTCTGTTGCTGTGATGCATATGTTTTAATTATATCCCACTGTCCATTCTTCCTACAACTGTATCTAGTGTAAAATAATTCTGTGTGATCTTTCTCTGCATTCAACAGCTGTGTCTGGATTTGGATCCAGCAGAGACATAAATTGATGTCCAAATAAATGAATGAGTCCCTTGGTTACAAGGAGTAAATCTCAGTTTGGACGTAAGTCCATAGCCTAAAGCTATTTATTCTGTAGAAAGTCATCCTTTTAAAACATAGTTTTTACTTTTGTCTTTTTCATAAATACAGCTAGTACATAAAGAAAAATAATTCCATAGCCTATTCTCAGAGAAAAAGCTTTTTGAAGGTCTTAGGGTACCAAATAAACACCAAATACAAAAGTAAAGCAGTCATAAATCAAAAAATTAGCATAAGTGTAGGTTAAATATTTAGATTTTGAATTACCAATCTAGAATAGTATTTTCTCTTTATAGTGATGATTGCTTGGCACTATAAAAAACCTTGATTTTAAATTTGAAAGCAAAATACGTTTAATTGTGGCTATGACAATGTAAAAGGATAAATGAAAGAGGCTGAAAGAAAAAGCAAAACTATCAAATTAAGTATACAGCTGTTATTGGTTAAAACTTTTGATTTTAGGCTAATATTTTTTAAATGGAACGTAAGCAATCCTAACTAATTATTTTGAAAGTTTATTTCATTTCATGTCATTTTATGAGAACAGATTTAGGGAGTATTGGCAATGTTTAATCTCATATCTTAAGCAGAAGATTTATGTTTGCAACTGATAACTACTCTAATGAGCCAAAAATCCAGCTTTCGCTCTTCCTGTGGAAACCTCCTACCTACAGGTTTTCATAAAAGTTTGATTATGCCAATTTTTAGTTTGTGAAGAAACTAACAGTATGTCTCTCTTGCTCTCATTCACTTAATTGTTGGTAAACCTGCCCTTGCCTGAAAGAGCCAGTGTTAATGCTCTTGCCTGAAGCACCACAAAATGCTGCCTGATTGAAATGGTGCTGAAAGCTGCATTATGTGCTGCTGACTTAGAGACGTGGGTAAGAGCAACTTAAAACTGCTATAGAAAATAAGCCTAATTTCCAAACTAATATTGTTTGCAATTTTTTAATGTTGTCTTCTTTTTTATGTGATTCATTTTATCTTTTAACACAGTCCTATTTTTGAAGGTTAACAATGCATTGACCAACTGTTGGGAAATTGCAACAGGAAAAGTTCATAATAGTTGGATTTAAAATGCATAAATTTTCATGCATCATTAAAACACCTATGTAAATACAAAACCAGGAATTATTCTGTTAGCATTAAATGCTAGTGCTTGCTAAAAATAGTAATTTATCTCCATATATCCATGTTCTCAAATCTTTTTAAATTTGCCACTAACCTTTAGCCTATGCCAAAAACTGATCTATGTTTTTCATTAATATACCTAGGGAGCTATTGAACATAAACTAAACTGTTTAAAAGAAGCTTTTCAAAAGTTACTTATCACCTTCAGTTGCCAAGGTTTAAACTTTTATTATTCAGATTTTTTGGCTCCTCAATATTAATTTTATAGAGTTCTACTTTTCTAGTTTATTACCTTAAACCAAATCACTTCGTAAAAATATGGGATGTTTAAAAGAAAATTCCATAAGATGAAGAGTCACATATGTTTTAGACATTGCCAGAACTTTTATATATTTGGGTTGAAAGAAAAATTAAAACATCAGGAAAAAATACTGAGTTTTCATATAATTTTAAAATATAGGTCACTACCTGAAACATCGTTCAGATTATTTATTAAGACCTCTACAGTGGTGGCAGGGTCTGAGTCCAGACTCCAAACCAACCAACCATTCTGTCCCTGCTCTGTTAGTCAAAAGATACAAAGCAGTAAAAAGTGCTGGCATGGCACCTATTACTGGGTTATTGGAGACCTGGTACTCTTATTTCCTCATGAGACTGCTGTGAAGCTGGGAATGACCATTCAGGCAGGGATTGCACAGTGGAAGCCAACAGACAGATCCACAAGTGGCAATAGAAATCTTGGAGGGTCAAAGTATTCGTGGCCCCAGTGGTGGCCAGGAGACCACAGCCTGGAGCAAGGGACCTCAAAGCCAAGGGAGGGTCAGCATGAGTAAGGGACTCACAACAGCCAGCACTGGCAGGCTACAGCAAGACAAATTGCCTAAATTCAGCCTCTGGTGTCCCAGAAGAGGAGGGTATTCATTTGGAAGAGAACTCCCTGCTTCAGAACCTGATTATCCACTTTGTAACTTCAGATAAATCTTCAATGTAACTCTTTGATAAAAATTCTACATAGGATCTCTCTTAGGGACCAAAGTTCAGATCTCTCTTGTCGTACAAAAATTACCAGGTTACAAGCATGCTATTTTCCTGTCCTAATGAATTTTGAACTTTAAAGTGGTCCTTAATTGAGTGGGGAATGTTTCCTCTAACGGCTGCGTGATTAGGATGCAGAAAATGCAAGTTTGAAACTCCTCTGAGCAAGAAGCATGGGATATCTCCATCTTCCTGCTTGCACCCTCCCACCATGTTCCCAGGTGTCCCTCCTGCCTCTGTCCATGCTGTGAACTGGGCTGCTTGCCCAGCACAAGGCACCCATGCCCATGGGAGCAGGGGAAGCTGGGTTATGTTCATTGAACCACAGCGTGCTCCTAGCAAGTGTCCAGGGCTTTGGGTAGGTTCAGTCTGCTATGGTTTTCTCCAAATCAACAAGTGCATCTGAGGGTGGTGTGTGTTCTGCGCAGGGCAGAATAGGGGCAGCTCTGCAGGGTACACAGAAATTGGTATCATGTGGTTGTGGCACTGTGGGATGTATTTGTGCCTTAGATGTACCCGTGGGGGCTCCCATACAAAAAAATTCTCAATTTTATTTAGAAGGATTTCTTTATCTGGTGAGATTACTCACCCTGCTACTTTCCAAAACATAGTCACTTGGACTTCTGCCTAAGTGGAAGCACAGGCTGCCTCCTGGAAATTCTCTTGCTCCTGAGGTAGCAGCTGACTCTCCCAAGGCCATGAGGCTCCTCCAGGGTTTCTTTGCTGAGCCTTCCCCTCAGCCCCTGGCCAGGTGAAATGTAAAAAGGCTGCCTTGGGGTTTTTTGCTGTGGTTTCCTGTGCAGCAGCAACCCATCAGACACAGCTGCCTGACAGTGGTGGTGGGGACAGACTCTAAGGCCATCTGATCTGAACAAAAGACGGTTTTGCTGGCAGTTTCGTAGGCACTGGGAGATACTGTCAGCACTGTGTACTTATAAGATTTAGAAAAATAGTTTCTTTTGTTCATTTGAATACAAAGGCAACTCAAAAGTTTTCTGTCTTCCTTCAGAAATTAAATCCTGCAAGCTTCTAGTAGGATTTTGAAAAGGAATAGTTTTAGAAAATCAAAATAACAAAACCATTTAACTTTAGATAAGGGATTACTAAAACTCACTGATCAATTTGTGCTCCTAATCTTCAAAATCATTTTTGTAAATAAGATCAGGCTCTAATAAATCACATGTTATTAATTTCACTTTACTCTCATCTTCTGAAATGTATTTGTGTAGTCTGGGACAGTCCTTGAATCCTCACAAATTTTAAAAAAATAGTATTTTGGAAGGAAAGTCTTAATCTTGCTTCATTTTGATATCAGTTGCTCTCAACCATACATCCCACCTTTAGGTGTTTCTTTGTAGATGAGAATTAATCTTCAGACATGTCTGAATATGAATATTTTCTGTTTGCATTCAACCTCCTCACCCATTTTCTCTTTCTCATATCCCTTCTGTTGAGAAAGGACAAGTTGCTACAAGAAAGACAACATGGAGTGAGAAATGAACACACAAATACCTGTCAAATTTGAGCATTTGCAGCTCTTTCAGGAAAAGGAAAAGACTCCCACCCTAACTAAATGAAAAGGGCATAACACAGTGACAGGAAATAATCTCTTCAAAGTATTGGAGGGCATTTAATTTAGGGGAAACTCGCTTATGAGGGTTTTTTTACTCATACATGAGTAAAATATCCAAAAATGTCTTGCTTCCTGTGTAATAAAACCACTCAGAAGAATCCAGAGGAGGTGCTGACATCCATTGCTGTTTTCCAGGGCAGTGGATTGTCCCCTGCCTGAGCTGCTCTGACAACAGGACCTGTGACTGGAGAGCAATAACGTGGCAGCCCCACGGCTGCCGACACTCTGTGCTGGCCAAGCCCGAGCTCCAGCGCTGCGTGGAGGGCAGAAGGGTAGGTATCAGCCTTTGCATTCTCATTCATTCTTATTTGCCTGGGTATTTGGTGTCCTGAAGCTTTCAGGATTGATATGTGACAAAAATCCCTTTTTAGCTAGAGAGATATTTGGGTGTGAAAATTTCACAGGGATGAAAACCAACCTTAGTCCATAATTTAGCCTCATATGCAGACACAGTTTGCTGCTGTTTCACAGAGGATCTTAGGTCACACCACTGGAGTTCCAAGACCTATGGTGTGTGTGATTACCAGTCAGACCTGCAGTGAGTACACAAGGACAGAAAATGGAGGATATATTTGCATTGTTGTCACAGTTTTGTCTCACATGCAAGTTGTTTTTCTTCTGCTGCATACCTAATGCATGGCATTGCTTGTGCACACTAATCTTACCAAGTCTTCTTGCACATTCTTTTCTTTTAGTGAAGCTTCTAAAGTGATTGCTTGGAAATACAAGGTCTCCTTAATAAGCATGCTATGACTGTTATACTGTTGAGAGAGAGCTCTGATCTGAGGCTCAGGTACCTTACTGAGGATACAAGTATCCAGAAAGTAAGTAATTAATTATTATAAAGCTCTTTAAAGTGTATTGCCTAGATAAGAAAATAGTTACTAGAAGTGGCATTTTGATAAAATTCAAGAGCATATAGACAAATACAAACCAGTAGTCTTTCAATTAACATTTTCTCCTTAATTTCTGAAAAATTTCTTGCCCTACACAAGGTACTTTATTGTCATTTTGCTTTATTTCTACCTGTGGTTTTCTCTGTTACTATAGAGCTGCGAGTTACTCCTAGAATATTTTTCTAAAACAATATTGTTTTTTATGACAGAGGAGAAGCTCAATCTGTTCCTCATGTACAAAACAAGCTTTTCTAGATTAACCACAGAAAAAAAAATATTCAAGAATTTAATTGCTTTGCTTTGGTCCTTAATTTCCATGGACATCAGGCTGCTTTCACAAGCATCCACCCTTTGGTTAGGCAATGGAATGACAGCAGAGGAACAATATGCCACTATGGAAGTGGATTGCCAGGGTATTGCTGAGAGGATTTGCTGACATTTCCACATCCCAAATCTGACCACTCATATTCATGAGTGTCAAAAGCAGGACAGCATTTGTAAAGGGTTTATTAAAATCAAGTCAATGAAATGAGTGTCTGTGAAGCTTAATTTCTTAATTCAAATTTCATTATGTTCTAACTCTCTAAGGTCACTGATCTATTATAGTGTCAGATGACGGCCAGATCCTACGTGAGCTACATTAACACCTTGAGAAAAATCTCTGTAACTAATAGCACCTGTTTCCCATTCTGCATCTTTTACAGAAGTCTCCTGACACTGTCTGATAACCTTTGCTGCTCTGCAGAAATCTGCTGAATTACCTCTGTTACCTTTGCACAGATGTATATTGAATTGGTTTATTCTTTTAAAGTCATCACTCTAAAGCATGTTCCCCTTTTGATATATTTCTCCTATCTCTTTCTCTCAGATGTTATTTTTGTCATAACTTTGTATGTGTGATTTTAGTTTTGTCTGAAATTTTGCAATAGCATTTTTGCTTCTTTTGCCAAATGAATAGATGTGGAGCCTAGATCAACTCCTTTGTGTCAATACAACTCAAAAACTAAGAGAGGCTTTCTTTCTACCTAAGACAGGTGAAATAAAAATGGTTCCCTTCTGGGCAGAATCTTCCTGATTCTGCCTTTGATAAGTCAGACTTTGGAATTACTTTACACTGCCCAAGCGATGTAGTAGAAAGAGATTTTTTTTCATTTGCTCACTGAAAAAGACTTTGTGTTATATAAGTTTAAGCAACCTGGACCTTTTATAAAGGAGCTATTGTGCAGTAGGAAGATAGAATTCTTTTGAACAAATACATGTTAATTTTAAAAGAAATTTTCATAACCATCTATAAATATTTATATATTCTCAATTGTGATTTTAGTTTTGATTTATTATATACCTTGTCTCTAAGTACTACTGAGATCACTGATGTCTCAAACTGAAGATATCATAGTTTCCATAATAAAATACGCAGAAGGTTTCAATGCTGGAAACAAAAGCAGATGTTAAAAAAAAACATGAGTGCCAAATGAAAGGGCAAAAATCATTAGCCCAAGTGAGGACATTGGGGTGATCTGGAATGATGTTTGATTTACATTGTTTGTTGAAATTAGCTAAGAACAGCAGAACTCATTCATGTGTCCATTCAAAATGGGCTCAACTAACCCATGTGCCTCTTTATTCAGGAATTTTGAATATTCAGCTTGTATGGCTTTGGTCTCTGGAGTTAGAAATCCCTTATACAGGATGTCTTTGCCTTTTGCATAGACAGAGGAATTGAGTGTACCCTCAGGAAGTTTGCTGACAGCACCAAGCTGTGTGGTACAGTAGACTTGCTGAAGGGAAGGGATGCCACCCAGAGGGACCCTGACAGGCTTGAGAGGGGGCCTCTGTGAACCTCATGAAGTTCAACAAGGCCAAGTGCAAGGTCCTGCACCTGTGTTGGGGCAATCCAATCACAAATACAGGCTGGGCAGAGAATGGACTGAAAGCAGCCCTGGTGAGAAGACTTAGGGATGTTTGTGGACAAAAAGCGCAACTGTGTGCACTCACAGCCCAGAAAGCCAGCTGTGCCCTGGGCTGCATCAGAAGCAGTGTGGGCAGCAGGCTGAAGGGATTTTCACCCTCTGCTCTGCTGAGACCCTGCCTGGAGTCCTGTGCCCAGCTCTGGGGTCCTCAGCAAAAAAGAAAAACGCTGACTGTTGGAATGGTGCAGAGGAAGGCCCATGAGGCCCCCCTGGGCTGGGGCACCTCTCCTATGAGGACTGACTCTGAGAGTTGGAGCTGTTTAGTCTGGAGTAGAGAAGGCTCTGGAGAGACTTTAGAGGAGCCTTCCAGTATCTGAAAGGAATCTAGTAGAGAGACAGAGAGGGACCTTTTTACAAGGGCTAGTAGTGATAGGGCAAGGGGGAATGGCCTTGAGCTGAAAGAGGGTAGGTTTAGATATCAGGAAGAAATCCTTTACTCTAAGGATTGGGAGGCTCTGGCAGAGGCTGCCCAGAGAAGCTGTGAACTTTCCATCCTCAGATCCAGGCTGGATGGGGTTCTGAGCAACCTGGACTACTGGAAGGTTCCCTGCACATATGAGGGGATTGGAACAAGATGATCTTTAAGGTCCCTTCCAACCCAAACCATTCCATGATTCTATGATCATGCTAGGACACAAACAGCTTAAGTCTGTGATTACATCTTTTAACTTAAATTGGAGGTGTTAATCTCTATGCCATTGTCAGATTTCAACTTTGTTATCTGGAGGCTATTTCCATGTGCTTCTCTATTAGTTTTATAAGGGAGAAAAAAAAGATTAAAAAATGCCTACTTATATTTCTACTTTTAATGAATGTGAAAGGAAACATGCAACAATTAACCAGTGCTATGCTGTGTTCCTGACTTGTGTTCGCTTCAGCAAGTGATAAATTAAGATGTAAAGTGTATGCTCTTTTTGACTGAATGCAGAATATGGAAGATCAAGTGTGTCTTTGAGTGCAACCTTTCTATTTTTCTTGTGTTTCATAGAACAATGGTAAAAGGCAGCAGATATCTCTTGATCACTAATTTCTTGTATTCATTTGTCAATATTTCTGAAATATATTTGTGGTCACCCAAACAGACCACTTCTTTCCTACCTTCATCATAATTAAGCCTTCAAAAATGCTTTCTAATTTAATTTCTAACTCCAGGCCACTTTTATTTATTATATTAAAATTTATTTGTTTTCCAAAGCTCATCTGAGCTTTATAATCTTTCTCTGTAACCGAAATCCGTTTCCCTGGCTATGACTTCCAATTGATTTCACATCATCATTAACTGCTATTTTAGATTGTGTGCATATAAAACTGTTTGAACTAAGTTGTTTCTGTGTGTTTTGATTTAACCTGGCAGGCAGCTGAAGACCACACAGCCATTCACTCACTTGCCCACAGGGATAAGAGAGACAATCAGAAAACAGATAAAATATGTGTGTTTAAAAAAAGACAGCTTTAGTAGAATGGAAGAGGAAGGGAAAATAGTAGTAGTAGTAATAATAATAATAATTACACAAAGTAATACAAGTGCAATTTCTCAACACCCACTGACTGATGCCCATCTCATCCCATCCCAGGGCACAGCTGCTGCTCCCCAATCAATTCCCCCCAGTTTTAATGTTTAGCATGATGCCATATGGTTTGAAATATCCCTTTGGCCAGTTGGGGTCAGCTGTCCTGGCTGTGTCTGCTCCCAGCTTCCCGTGCCATTCTCCTCTCTGGCAGGGAAGAATGAGAAGCTGAAAAGTCCCTGACTCAGTGTGAGTGCTGCCCAGCAACAGCAAAACCCTCAGTGTGTTACCAACATTATTCTTATCCTGAATCCAAACCACAGCACTGTACCAGCTACCAGGAAGAAAATTAATTCTATCCCACCCAAAACCAGGACGCTTGGTTTCATAAAAACATAAGACCACCTGTAGTGAAACAATAACAGTCAAGCTGATGGAGACATGAGAAAATATGTGCATGAACAGAAACAGTTTAATGAGGCCTTTTTTTGCTTTATGATGTGTTAGCAAGAATAGTCAGTCATATGCTTGTATTTCATACATAGTAAACAGGAAAATGTCGAAGTGCTGAGGTTAAGGTTGTTCTGGCTGAGTAGATTTTCTTTCAGTCCACTTTTAATATCAGCAGTCTTTTTTCTCTTCCACTTTAAGGGTAATGAGATGCTGACTGTCTCATTCTTAGGGAATTCCATATACATGTCCTAATTGAATCAAATAAATTGTTCTTCATAATAAAATATTAAACATCATAATAAAATATTATATCTGTATTATGTTGGCTCAACAAAATTCTCTGTAGGTGCAATTAATGACTTTTTACTGTAAGACATATACAAATCTATTAAGATAATGCTTTGATTTTTGTTCAAGATTGATTTTGTACTTTGAAAAATGGGTTCTAACAGGTTATTGTTTATCCAATTAGCAGTATATAGAAAGCTGGTCTCAATAGTTGAAGGGATATATATTTTGCTTATCATTGAGAAAAACTAACCAGAGTTTAGTCTTATAATAAAATACCATTGAGTCATGTGTAATTAAGAACAGGAAATATGAAAAGGCAATATTTGCTGAAGTACTTAAAATTCAGCTGTTAAAACAGGAATTTTAACTTATGATTTCTTAATAATATTTTAGAGTTAAGTAGTGTTTTGAACTTAGAGGTGTTTAAATTTCCCAAGTGTGGTTAATTTTTAATGATAGGTCTGGTTAAGAAGTGAATTCCACTATGCTTACACAATCTTTCAAAGCCTTTAAGCTATAATGGAATTTTTCACACGAAATATTTGCAACAAGACAGTGAAAACATCTGTCTGTGTGGAAGTGTTGTTCTTTGTATGGTAAAATTATAACCTTATGTTTGATCATTTAGTCATCCTGCAGACAACTGCCCCATCAACTTGAACAGTACATGACTTGTGCCAGACTTGTAAAAAGAGAGAGATGGCTTACTCTACACACCTAAACCATCATGTTCCTCATTATTATCATAGAGATAAATACAGAACCATCCCTGGAGCCTTTTGTTCAAAACATATTGAATAATACATGGGACATGTAACTACAATGAGTTCATCTAAATGTATAGAAATAAATCTGATTTTAGTTACCATACGTTCAATTACATTGAGAGATTATTTTAATTCATGAGAACTCTTGGGTTAGTTGAAGGACATAGGTTTTCTTCCTCAGGCTAAATACCACTTATTTTAACCTTTGAGTCTTCCAAGTATTTGCTAAAAATGAAGCTGACTTGCAAAAGGTGGACTTTGAAAGATGCTTTCTGATGGCCTGCATACCATAACAAAATGTATTTGGCCAGCTCTGCCCAAGGGCAGTTTGAAAAGAAGGTAGGATTACCTACAGATTTCCTCTTTGTTCACTTCAATTTTTTTTTTCTTTTGAGGAGAAGAAAAAGAAGAATTTGGGGTTTTGTCCAGGATTTTCACATCTCACATCATGGTTGAACCAATGGTCAGAAGCAGATGGTTGGATACAGACCAAATCTTAATGAATGGATGCAGTGTGAATGCAGATGTGCTGATGATGTGCTAAGCATCCACCAGCCTGGGGTGCATCAAATTACAAGAACTCCACACCTATCTTTCTATCTGAGATCTTCTTTAGACTTATGAGAGAGCATTCCCTTCAAAATCCCAGCACACAGTCTCCAGAGGATGACTGCAGACTTTAGAGTCTATCTCAGAGCTAGAGGGCAGGGACCATGGGTTTCACATACTGCAGTCCTAGTTTTCATACCTTTCCAAAAAACTGTCATTTCACCATGGAAGACAGAGTTAAACAAATTTACCTGATGCCAGTGATACCGTCCTGATATGGCTCATACCTACTTGAACAATCAAAGACGTCATGACTGTAAGCTAATCTGGTTACTCTAATTGACTGACATCTTTAAGGATGACCTCTGCTTTTGACCTGTCTTTCTGTACACCTACAAGTCCACTTTGGCTCATTTCTTTCTTTCTTTCCCACTTGCAGCAAGCCTTGACTATTCTCTTAGCAGACCTGTGTCTAAAAGTCTAGGTTAATTTCCCTAGTGGTACAACCTGTATTTTACCCGGTGTGGTATTGCTGTCTTTCTCATTCCTGATTTGGAAATAGGCTGAGTGCAGTCTCATCAGCCTTGTGATGGTATTTGAAGAAGTATGTCAGGGCCTTAACAGCTGTCTGTTTCATCTAGTTCCAAAGGAATCTGCTCTGACTCCTATTTCATATTCAGGACAATGAACAACAGTACAGGACAACAACAGTAATATGCTATGGCCCACCTGATATTTTGATATGGTGCCCAGCATCGCGGCATTTCCAGACTAGAGTTGCCCCTTTAAGACATGATCTTAAGTTTCTTCTGGTAGGGGTTTACTAAATGACTGCGCATAGTGCTCTTCCATCTCCAGACCTGGCCAGAAGGTACCCAGGGCAGACTTGAAAATTAATTCATGGGTCCATTGTTTATGCCTATGTAGGTATAGGAAAATTGCAAAGCCCTAAAATGCTAAATCATGTAATAGTGTGGATTGGGATGTGTGTATGTGTTTTGCTCTAATTTTGACATAACAAAAAAAATAAAAAGGGAAAGAGATCTTAATCTCTGATGCTCTGCAGTGTTTGAGACTTAGGAAATTTTTGGCATAACTCTTCACATCTCACCTACTAGTGAATGCACAATGTTGGCAAAAAAGACAGATGTGCATCCTGTTAATTGACACTGGCCATGGTTCTTTTCTTCTTTTTTTTTTTTTCCCCATGGAAGTTGTCCTGCTATTTTAAATCAGTAGTAGGTGGGATTAGATCAAGATAGTTAGGATAAAACAGTTATGAGAATTCTAGTCACACTAGAATGAGATAAAAATGTCCTGTCTACCAATTTTGTGTAATTAATAGCTGAATATGCTTCTTTGCAATTCCCATGTGCTGTGATAACAAAATGGTGTCATATGCTATTAGAAGTAGAAGAGAAACAGTCTTGTATGTTCTACCAACTGCTGTATGTGTGTAACTTGGTAGGGCCTGTTTGTTATTCTGCTAATGATGTGTTGGGTTTTTACAGAAATGTTCTCACCCACATTACAAGCTCATGATGTCCTTGCCTGCAAGTATCTGAGAACTGCTGTTTAAATAGATATGTATCAAGATACTCCAGTGATGGGCTTATGAAATGGAGATTAAATTGTCATGGATATAGGCAGGCTGGAGAATCAAGAGATTTTGCAACCTAAAAGAATTGTTGCTTAAAACCTCAAGTTAACCTACTTTAGAATTAGGACATATTTTAAGCATGGACTGTCTTTCTAATTGTAAATAATTTTATGCATGTATGTGTCTGTCAGAGAGGGAAAGAAGATATCCAACCAGTCCTTCCAAGGATCCTTGTCTTCTGTGAGTCATGTTATGCTTGATTTAAAGAGGTTTCTTCTGACACGATGTGAAAAGCTGTAAATCCCCTTGTGTGTGAGAGCAATGCTTGTGCAGTACAAACATGAACAGCAGCTGTTTAAGAATTTCCTCTATGAAGAGGCTTTGAGAGGTCCAGGACAGGAGTTAGAAGAGCCTCTATGAGTTCACTGCTAGTTTTAATTTGTTTGCTACCACACATAATCTATCAAGGGCTTCTCTGCAGCCCACAATGGGCACAGCATGGGAAGTTGTAGGCATTGTCCTGCCTGTTCTTGGCCCTAACATCAGATGAGGGTAGGCTCATCTGAAATTCCTTCTCTTCTGTGGGAAGTATCACTGGTACACTCTTCCTTATTTTTAATCGCAATAAGTTAATACTGGGAAGTGGAATCAGTTTTCAAAACTGTGACATTCCTGAAGGGAATGGATAGACAGAAGTGTTAGATGTGTGTAGTCTCAAATGTCTGTACCACATAAAATCTCTAAAAAAAACTTTAGAAATATATCCTTAAATGTGTCATCTTGTGCAGTCTCAATTTTATTTGCATAATCAAATATTCAAGGTGGAAGTGGTAAAACATCAAACTCCAAATCAAATTAAGAAATGAAACAACAAAATGCCAACTTGCAGGATGCCGACTGAGTGCCAGAGGAGGTAGGAGAAGCTGAGTACTTCTGTGCAGAGAACAGGGCTGTTACTGTGTCATGGCTCTGTGGGGTTTCTTAATCCCAGTTTTACATATTTACTCCTCATTGTGGATTTCTGTCTGAGCTGATTGGGGTAATTGATTCTGCACACAATTTCATTGGCAAACCACAGTGAACCTGGATTCTCCTACTCTTTGGACTTGTCTTCTATTACCTATTTCATCAGAAGGAAATGCTGGTCCTATCCACTCAAAATGGGGCAATAGCATTAAAAATAATTTCCCACAACACTTTAGGTTCTTTGGTCTCCTGATACAGAGATGTTTGTTTTTTCAGAGAATCTACAGAATGAGTAGGAGGAAACCCAAATTTGATTTTATTCATTTGCAAGTTCAGGGTAGCTGAGCAGAGACTGCTATACTTAACATACATTTGTCAGGATTTCTAACTCCCTTCAGGCCATGAAGCTTTCTGGTGGTCACATCACACATGACAGGACTCTATTCAGATTGTCCTCCACCCCAATAACATCCTTTTCTTTTCCCTTTGAACCTGCAGAAGGACCATCTCTCTACAAATAAGGCAGCAGCTGCATCCTGCATGGGATGTGTGGGTGTAGGGGTGTGTGTGTGCTACTTTGGTGCAAATTCTAATTAATCCCATTTATAGAAGACCAGTACTCGCTGTGCAGGAGCAAACCACATGAAAAACTGTAGGAAAAAAATCAGGAAGCTGCAAGCAATCATGAGAGCAATTGTGTACTAGCAATTAGAAGTAAATATAAGCAAAAGAAATTATCACCAAGGAAGAAAGATGCAGGGCTAATTTTGCAGCTATAGCCATCTATAACCTGTACTTTTTGTATTTAATATACGTAATTCGGCTTTTTATTAATCAAATCTCAGAGATTTTGCTAAAGGACAAATTTAATATTAAGATGCCAGGGTAGTGGCTGTTCACAAAGATATTTCTAGAACATTACAAGAAGCATTTAAAAACCTCCCAACAAGCTGTATTCTTTTCCTTGCTTTTGGTTTGTGTACTGTACAGCTTCTAAGTCATACCTTTTCCATCTGAAGATTCTTTTTATAGGTGACTCAACTAACAGAGGGATGATGTATTATCTAATTGAAAGAGTGAATAAGACTCTTCAGGAATGGCAGAAGACTCATGATGTTAAATGTTATCACAATATCAATGAGGGGAAAACATTTATCAGTTACTCCTACTACCCCCAGTTCTGGATGAATGCAAACCAGAGACCGACTTTTGAAAAAGCACTGGAACAGCTGCTGCAGAGGTACTGCACAAACTCTGTATCACCCTTGTTTGCATTATTGTTCTATTCACAAATGTGTTTAACACATTTTACAATTAAAGTCAGTAGACAGTAAAACATAAGGTGCACAGATCATATTGTGTGGTTAAAAAATAGCTGAAAATTACATCAGGCCTCTGATCAGGGTGCCAGATGCAGTTCAGTGAAATGCAAAGCAATGTAGTTAAAATGTTTGCCATCTGTTTAAAGCAACATGTGATGTTTTTCTTTTCTGGGTTTCAGATCACGTCCCCTGGAGAACACAGACCAGACTGTATTAATTGTAGGTGGTGTTCAGTGGCTTAATTCCAATCACCTGCAAATTATCCAAAAGGTGTTGAGCAGGTAATGCTATGTACTTGGTGTTATTCCAGTTTTTGATATCGTAAATTATGAGAAACAAAAAAAAAAAATTAAATACAAACTTTTGGTTTTTTGATAGGCATGTATTTAAGTGACTTTGAAAAAAAAAAAAACATGCATTGTTTTTTGATGTGTGTCTTAAGTAAAAAGTGTGTCCTTGTTTTTTTTTTTTTTAATTTGCAAAACAGGGAAAATCTATCAAATATCCTGGTAATTGTCAAATCCATAGGGATGGGCTTTCACCTTCCAGTGGATGGAATCCATTCTCTGTCACAGGTAAGCTGCAGTACATTTTGAGTGCAGTTTCATGGAAGACTCATCATTTCATTGTTAATTTTGCTGTCTGGTCAAAATATGCTATGTCTGCTGAGCACATTCTAAGTGGATCAAAGGAAGATTAATGTTTGTATTTGCTCATACTGCTTGATAGGGATTCAAACTAATTTCCTTATTTAATGGATTCTGCTGCAATCAGAGAGCCATTTGAGAACCCATGCTTGGTCAGCTGTCCCAAGAACCAGAAGAAGGTCCAATATGAATCCTGCTGCCAAAACGGAGAGATCATTCTGGGGATAAGCAGATTGCTCCTCATACTACATTGCACACAGGCCCTCCCCAGGCTTCCTCCATGGTTACTGCTGGATCCAATTCACTTGCCTGGCTTGCACAACTCAATAAATCTATCTTAACCCACCTGTGAAGCCAGAACATTACAGAGCAGCTGGAATGTACCAGTGAATCCAGGCTGTTATTTGCATGTTAATGAGATGTTACACTCAGTTTAAATCATACCCAAGACTCTCAGAGTAACAAATGTGCTCATTTCAATGCACTGTGCAACTCACTCAATTCACTATTTTTATTTACCACTTGGACAGTGATTCTCTATTGAACACACACAAAATGCATGGATGAGAAGCACTGGAAGGCAGAACAGAGTAAATGATGCCTCCCAGTGCTGTGTGTCATGTTCCAGCTATTTCCAGGTGTTGAAAAGAGAAAATTACTGCCTCTTACAGATTCCATACAGCACTCCTTGAGCACTGGGGACTAGTGCCCACATCTGCTTGCAGCCATGACACACTGCTGTATTCAGCGTGTGACTTCCTGCTGCCCTCACCCTTCTCTTTGCTACAGAGCCTACCCTGTCTGATTTTGCCCATTCTTCCTGTCTAAGATAGTACTGCCTATCTGCCTTGTCTCTACTGAAGGTCTTATTGATTCAAACAATTTTCCTAACTTATCTGGAGGACCTAAATAGAATAAAGTAAGGAAATTATTGTCATCAACATGAAGGAACATTTTCATAGCTCCCATCAGAGTTTCCAGCAAAGTTCAATTGTAGGATGAAGAGCTTCAATCCAGGGTATATGAGGCAAGGATAGAGTATTAAAGGCTTCCTAAGAATTTTTCTTTTTCTTCTTCATTAAATTTACAAAACTCCAGAAATCAGCTACAGTGCATAACCAACATTCTTTTCCCTTTCACCATTGGAATCATGTGCCAAATTACCCATGTGGTTTGTATGCTCCAGGCTTCAGGATTACCAAAAGGGACCCCTATAGTCCTTTTTAAGCAACTGCCTCAATGAATTTGATTTGAAGCTGAATTTTTCTTTAAAGGAGCATTTTCACCATTTGTTACAGACAAACTTTATAATTGGAATTTTTTTCTGAATTACACCTCTTATTAGCAAAATACATGTTAAAAACGACTACCCAAGAATTATATTTTAAACAATCATGAAATCTTCCTATAAAGGAAGCTGCACATCTACTGAAAAGTAATTATAGTTTCTGAAAAAAACCCTACATCAGTCTTGGAGTAGTAGCTTTTTTCGAGAGTGAATTTATAGTAATTCATGTCTGTAGTATAATGTCATTGCTCATTCAAAATGCAGTTTTGCTATTTTTTCCATGATGCAATAACCTTTAAACAGTCTTTCTGACAAGACATTGCAACGTTTTATCTGGAATGCAGGCAGAAGTGCAAAACTTGTGGAATGAAAACTTGATTATTCTGGATACAGCAAAAAATTTGGGCTATGAAGTGGTTGACACCTTTGTCATCACCATGGGACGCTACAAAGAATTCCTGCAGGGGAAGTGTGGCTGCCATTTCCATGAGGTAATAGTTTACACTTATATCATTCCCAGGTATTTAAGATATTTTAACTGTTAGATCTTAGAAACAAGAAGGTACATGGTGAGGTCAGCGTCCATCACTCAAAGTTAGGCCTGGATACAAATTGTGGGGAAAGCAGTTTGCATGGTGGCACTTGTCCATCATTGCTCACCTTGGGTGAGGGGTGGGGTGCAAGGCCACCCAAGGACGTGCTGAACTGCTGGAATGGGGAAATTGAAATGAGCAAACATACCCTTCTGCAAAGGTAACTCACATAAAAGGATGTTGTACAGTTTCCTGGTTCTTGTATTATTTGTTACCTGTTATATATCTCTGCTGCTTCTGCATGGAAGTTTCTCTTTTTACTCAGTCTTACGGGTTTTTGACTGATGCATTCCTAACTGAACAACTCAGCACACTCACTTCAAACCATAAGTACAATTAAAATGGAGCTTAAAATCGAAGAACCAATCTTCCTACTATATATCTCTTTTCCTATGTCTGAGAAAAAATAATCTGCAATAGTTACAGTGATCCACTGTACAAACAGAAGTGTAGACTGATTGTTCTCCCTCACACCGGTAGTCCTGCTTTCTTGATTGAAATCTATAGAATTTTTTGGGAGTGTTATCAGACCCACGTGAGCTCATGTGCCACACATCAACCACACAGCTGGTTTCCACCTCAGGCTCCACAGCAGCTCACATGTTTTCAGGCCAGTGCCATGGCCTCTGTCCTGCTCTGGGGCCAGCATCAGCAGGTGTGGTTAGTTAACCATTCCTCTAATCCACACTTGAGAGGCACAAACATAGCTCAGTCCAAATGAAGCTGGAAAAGAGGGAGTAAGTCCCAGAGTAGATATTTATGTGATTGATAAATAGTCCCATGGAGCAAATGCTTCTTTCCCTCCTTTTTACCCAGCCAGTTGTATTGACCCTTTTTTATCTAGAGCCCAGATGCTGATGTTTTTGTGGGTCATTGCTGATGTTTGCCATTTCCACAGGTCTTGTGAGCAAAACAGAGAGCTTCAAAATTAAATATTTCAAATGCTTTGTATGGAACTCTGTGGAGAAAACAGCAGGGTGTGATCAGTCATCAGCATTTTTCATGAACTGCTCCATCATTTTGTATGAGCTCATGTGCAGATTTGGTCTTGCTTCTCTGCTGAAGGAATCTCAACAGAGTATGTGTTTCTGAGGAGGATAAGGAGAGAATCTGGCTCACAGAGCTGTTATTAATGAGGCTTGAGAAGTGATTGTGCCTGAAAGAGCCATAGATATGCCCAATAGAATCCATCATGCACCAAAAACCAGACTTGATCTTTGAGGAAAGCAAAAATAAAGTCCTTGAGTTCTTTTTATACTTCATTAGTTTTAATAGTTTTGTCATCAGGTTATTTCTGCATCCTGGCAAGTGGAGTTTCATTAGGTGCTGAAGCAGTTTGCACCAGGAAAATGACATTTTGCCCCCAAGAACAGAGCCAAGAACACTGTGTGAAACCTCAGCACTTTCCATGTTTTCTGAGACCAGATGAGATAGATTAAATCTTGTGCTTTGTACTTTCGCTTTCTTTCTCTTAAAAACTGACACTCCTAAAGTATCAGAAGATGACACCCCTGTGTAAATGACATCTGAGCTAAACATGGCTGTGCAGGAATGCAGGACTGTCCATTCTGTGCAGTCAGAAAACAAGAACTGAAATGCTTTCAGCAGTTCTCATTTAGCTCCCACTAACTGGCTAAGAGAAAGCTGTTTCCTTGGAATGGCCTGAAGATTTAGTTCCCACCAACCCATTTCAGAGGGTCTCAGGTGACCCTGATAGCACAGAAATCTCCATGTATGTAGACTTGCTCAGGTTTCTAAGGAATCTGGATTTTCAAAGGGATTATACTGAGCTGGGACAAAATATCTTGCATAACCCTGGCCCTTACTGCCCAACATAATTCTAGTTCTACACACACATGAGAACTTGATTTTTATATACCTCATTCTTTGAAAATGCTTATAGACATTGGTCAGCACTATACAAATATTACAGAAGCTATTTTAAATTTCAGATTGATTTCCTGTTTTGATGGCAGTGAAATAATAATCACTACACAGAAATTAGCAACCCTGGGATTTTTGTATCTTAATAGGTGGCTGGCTGTTGGTGGCTGGGTGAATATTAGATTGCATTCCTGGGAGATTATGCCTAACAGGAATGCAGTTTGGGTGATTGGTTCAAGGTGGCATCATTTTGAAATAATTGCAAGATCTAAGGCACTAATTTAGAAAAATGAACCTACAGTAATTGCATGAAAATAAATAGTAGCCCTTGGCTTAGCTGTATGAAATTGATCAGAGGATATATTAATTTTCTACATGGATAATTCCTGGTCTGTTTTCAGTTCTGCAGCTCCCTCAAAATCTCTCCGTTCAGTCTTTCAAGCCTTTGCACTTGTTATTTCTTCACTCACACCTAATTTTGTATGATTTATTTCACTGCATATGAGTGTTGATTCTGATTGTTCAGTGACAGTAAATATATATTTATATTTTTATAATGTATATAAATATACATTATATTTTTAAAAGCTAACATGCTTCAGCATAAATATGTGCATTAATAAATGAATTCTGCATTTTCAAGTGTCTGCTGTGACTGACACAGCAGGAAAACTGATAGGCATCAGAGCTATTAAATCAGCATACATATACTATTTTAAAAATAAGTTGACCACCTTTTGTGCATTCTCTGGGTTTTCCACTGAGTGGGCTGAGTTCTCTGTCCTACATATGTGCAAGGTTCTGTCTCTCTCAAAGCTGCTTCATTATTCAGTGACTGAGTAGTCACTGAGACAAGACCTTCAGCATTTCACTGGAGATCACTCCCCAGTCGTTAAACTCCTGACAGCCATACCTTTCACTTTCTCTCTTGTTAGTCCCATGAACACAGTTTTATTCCATACAAGCTAAACATGCTAATCCCAGAGCTTTATACATATTTCAGGGGCCAAGGTGAAGTATTCTTCAACACTAAGTTACTGAATCATGTTGTGGTTCTGTCCCTGTGGAGTCCTGGGGAGAGGATGTGAATTGCTCCATAACTCCCTTCTTGTAGAAATGACACACGAGGGTTTTCATCTCAATGTGAGGCTGGGCCAGGCTTGCATCAGGATGTCAGAATGAGGGATTCTCACGGGGCTCATAGCTGAGACACATTATATGTGCCTCAAGTGCTTGGTATCAGACCAAGATTTAAACCTTTCTACAACTTGGAACAGTCATGAGTTTTGTTTTGGGTAAATTGTCTCTGATGAAAGCAACAGAGTCTAATAAACAAAGGCATTACAAATTCAAATGACTGAGTATAATGGCCTATGAATGTAGATTTAAAAAATTAAGATCTTGCTCTTTAGTTAGTTTACAACATAACAAATTTGCCATTAAAATAATGCTTATGAGCAACTTGCACCTCAAAGTAAGAGTATCAGGACCTGCTTCATGGACAACTGCCTCAGCATTTCTGCACACAGCTGTGTGTCTGTCTTTCTAGGTGCAGGCACAAAGCACTCACATGTGTCATTTCTTTTGCAGGTGGTGAAATCCAATCCCTCTGAAGAAAGGCCACACATAACAATGACGTTATCGGGGCACTATACGCTGGGGAAATATTTCGGCAGTCAAAGCACAGCATCACAACTGCAGGAGTATGCAACAAATTCTCAGTCCCCCTATCATGTCCGAGGTCCAATAAATCAAGTTTATTCTGAAATCCTTCTCAGCAGGCTCTGTGCACGTAAGAGGGAGTTTGTCAGCACATAGCCTCTCTTGGATGTAGCACCGAGACTAGAGAAGTGCCACTGCCTGAGGGACAATTGAAGGAGCACAGTGGATTAAGATATGCTTCCTCAACTGACTGCATACACACAAAGAGAGTTTGGGACATGTGGTATTTTCCCAAAAACCTTGTGAAATTAAGATATGCCCTGGTGACTCTTTTGTGTGAAAGTGGAAAATGGAGGGTTGCAAAGGAGAGAAGAGGGGAAGTTACTTGAACTGTTGCCAAAGACTAGAACAGCTGTACTTCAAGCAAGTGTGTATTATTGATAGCAAAAAGAGACCTATATATTCACTTGAACATTTGGAAAGGGCTGCTTTAGGTCTTCAGCACTATCTACTTTTCTATTTATGGAAACACTGTAATATTTGAATGTATTTAGAAACTGACTACATTCCGTTTGAAAGAGTTTTATTTTATGTGGAGAGTTTTCACTTCCATATTATACATTTTCTGTTTAGAAACTTGGTTTATAGAATCTGAAAATGTCTATTAGCATTTTACTGGTGATGCTGAGTTTTGAACTCTAGTGTTTTTAGTAAAAACACATCTCTTTGTATTTTAGATGAACAGATATCTACTCTATTTTTTTGCATGTTCTGAAGCTAATAGGGAGATAGATTAGCTATACTTGAGACTGATTGAAACTGTCTCAATGTAACATGTAAATATAGTGAATTTGTTAACATTAATTTATTTATGGTCCCAGTTTAGGAGAGTGTCCATATGCAGGAAGAATGCTTAGATAAGTGCTTCAATGTCTACCTTGGCCTGAAAGCCAATCAAGTATTCTTCCTGCAGAGAAGTGCCATTTCTTTAATGATATTTTTATAAAATGCTTGCCAGTGTGTGCAGCCAGTACTGCAAACATAACAAAAACCCCCCTTTCAAGCACACATAAGATTTTCAAGATCTGGTAATTTATCAATCACAGGAAGCATGTGATGTGATGGCAGCAGAATATACTGCCAGCATCGCTTGCTTGGCACAGCCAGCCAGTTTCATTTCAGTCCTTCTCTGAACTGCAGCTTCATGCTGTAGCCCAGCTACATCCCCAGTGTTTGCAGAATTTCTGTGGGTGACACCCCGGGGAGAAGCTGTGTGTTGGTCCCCTCCATAGTGCTGGCAGCCCTCTCCTTCACAGCTGTGGTACCCAACGGGAAACCGTGCACAGCCCAGGATTAGCAGCTGGGTGACAGGTTAGTGGCAACCCACAGGACTGCTGTCCCTAAAAATTATCCACTTATGGATTTTTATTCATCCAGTCACACAGCAGGCAATCAAGGCACCGCTCTGCCACTATGGTGTTTTAACGAGGTAGGTGCAAGTCTAACAAATGATCTGCTGAGTTCTGTGTCATGCTTCTCTGCCACAATTTTACATAAAATCCTCCCCTAGCATCTTCTTTGGGAAAGGAAGCCACAAAAAATGTCAGGGAATAAACAAAGGACAGGGCTGCCCTGTGTAGAATTAGGGCTAGCAAGTCATGACACAACATTTAGTATTTGCCTAAGATCCTGTATCTATCCACAGTTTGTGTGCCCAGCTGTAGTTTTGTGAATTTGTGCTTCTTCAGGTAAGATATGTAGTTATAATAGGAAATTGTCATCCAATATGGAGTTTGGCATCCTAGGTGATAGAGAATATCCTCCAAAATGGGATCTTGCATACCTAATTTAAGATACCTTTCACTATATTGAAAAAGCTCCGAACTTACATAATGACAAAATTAGTGAAAATGGTGTGATTATATCTGTTTCTGTATAATATGCTGCTGATTGCTTACAGTAAATATCTCCAAATTTCAACGTAAGGTTTTCCCTGGCATGGAAATCTACGTAAAAGATGGGTCAGGAGCTGTGCATAAATACTGAATATATCAATATTTGGTTTTCAGCAATATGATTATCTAAAGAAAATAATTGTATGCAAAAGATGTAATATATTCTCTTGGGTGTGGAAATCCAGAGCTTTACAACCTAAAAGCTGAAGGATAGAATATCATCATTAATGTTAGTAGATGCAAAATGCAGCCAGATGTCTTTGGTATTAAGATGATCGATGATAGGTATATTACAGTTCTGCTTCTGATAAGATTTTTTTGTAGCTCATTTAAATCCACATGCTGTTACTGTTATTGTTCTGTACACAAATGTTTTTAAGCCATTAACTAGGCTTTTATGGGTTTTTTTTTAGCTAAAATCTATTGCTGAAGCATCAGCTTAGTGATGAAAAGAAAAGAGCTGACTTTGTTATACTCTAGTGGATATCAGTGAATGTGCAATTCATCAGTTCTGGTTTCACCACAAAATGGTTTACATGTGCTGTACACCCAGATGTCTTAATGTTTTCCAAATCTTGATATTTTTCAAATGTATTAAGTGTATATTTACCTGTGTGTTTTGTATTTTTTACATGTCTATGTACATTAATATGTCTGTACAAAGTCATTGGTACAATTTGCAAATTGATCTTTATTTAAATGAGTTGTTTGAATAAGCTGTTTCCAACACTGTGTATGATCCACATAGTCTTAGGAATAAACAAAGGATAGTAAGCTACATTTTTGTTATTTAACTTTAAAATATATCTAGTATCTCTATCTATGTGAAAGGTGGGAGTTGAGATTCACATGCAAGGATTGCTTGCTCATATGCATTAAAATTTATAGATTAAGACAATAAAAGGATTACTGTGTTTGAATTCCAGTGAGAGCACATGTTGCTGTCTACAGTTTACTATACAATTATTATATCTGCTGTGACATTTTGCCTGAATAAACATGAAATTGTTCTTATAGTCCGTGCATCTACCTTAGTCCCATTACTTGCCATTAAAATAGCAAAGGACCTAGTAGTCAGATTGAGTTCCACCTCCTAATGCAGGCATGAATGGCCCTGGAATTAGTGGTAGGATTGGAATATTTAGGCTGGGGAACAAGAACTCTGAGAAATGGGGTTTCCTGCTCAATGTCTGCCCGGCAGCAGGCAGAGCTTAGAACAGAGGTAGGGCAAACATAAAGCTACAGGCAGAGTCAGAATGTAACTGTGTTGCAAAATAAACACTCTGATATACAGAGGAGTAGTCTCAGTTATTATTGCATGCCTTCAGCTGAAGCTGGAGCACGATTTACCAGTGTCCAGTGAGTTGCAACTCCTCACCTCTCATATAACTCCATAGATGTTGAACAGTTGTTGAACAGTGAATGGGGTTGGAGCAGGGTACCTGGCCACCATGATCAAGTCCATCTTAATAAATATCTTCAGAATAACTGACTGACTTTGGAATAAAATTTTTTTCCCTTTTTGTAGGGAAATGCCTTGACAAGTCCTCTCTGTCATCAGAGTTGCCAGATTTCAGGGGGCTGAAAGAATGGACTGCAAATACAACATTTAACATTAGTCGTGGTATTCATTTGAAAATTATAATCTTCAGAATAATCTCTTTCACACTGTTAAATACAAGGCCTTTATTTTTCTCTTCTGTGACACATTAAAGGGACATCAAAGTAAGTTTATTTGCTTAGTGGGTGGGGTAGCGAGGCATCAAATTACCTCAAGGTTGAAATAACCACTAATAGTTATGATTCTGTTGCTATGTTGAGCCAAAGAGAATGCTTTGAAGATGCAGATATGTGTGATATTAAGTTGACTGCAGTCCAGGGATCTTCAGATTACTCTTTTAGAGTAAAGCAATTTTTAGAGGTGCAGTGAACTGTTTGGCATAGACCCAAACTGCTAAACAAGTCTCTGTAGAGTCACATGAAAAATATGGTCTTACCTTCTTGTTTGCCTCCTAGCTTTGCATCTGGCTTGTCTTACCTCACTATCTGCACCTGCTCTACTCCACATCAGCCTTTCTTTCAGATGACCTTAGAAATTTGTGTTTTGTCAGATTAGCAGCTTCTAGAAATCTGAGATATAATTGTTGCAAATTCAGTCTGAATCTTCAAAATACATTTTTGTCAAGCCCAAAAGCACTAGAATAGAGCAGGGCAGGCCTCTTATCTAGGGCAGTGATTTTCTCTGATGAATATAAAACAGCTGTGTTGTATTAAGTAGTTTTCACTAGCACTTAGCTCTTCATGGAGCTTGCCTTTACCAAACAAAAATCCATCTTTCAAACTCCACTGCCATCTTTACCTGTGTAAATCTTCCAAACACCAGAGCAGTCTGTGTAAAATGCAGGCATAGATATTTATTGGTGCTGGTACGTACCTGAAGTATTTGCTGGTACCTTCACAACATCCATTGAACAGAAAAGCTCTGACTACAGAGTAAAAAGACACTGTGTATTTTAGGCTTACACTTTACTCACCTGTGATTAGATTGTACTAAAAATAGTGCTGCATGTCAGCCTAGGCCAGCACCTGTAGCTGAGAGTTCTAGAAAACCACTCAAGTCATTAACTGCAGTGGTCAAGATGAGCCTGTGGGGTCACAACAGGGTCTTCTGCAGCACAAGTTTCTGTTGTGATGGGCTTGTCACATTTTTATTTTTTTTCATCTGGCTGTTGGGCTAGCTCTCAGCACCTGTGGGCAGCCCTTCCTGCAAGCCCTCAAGCATGTTCAACAGCCTTGGCAAGGGACACCACAGCATGCAGCCCTGAACTGAAGATCAAGCACATGTCTAAATAAAATCTGAGGTCTTTATGAAACACAGCATCTGTTATGGTTTCCTCTAGTACTGAGCTTCCCTAATGAGGAGCAGAATTCACTCCCATTCAACTGAAACTCAAATACCAAGGTGTTTTCCCAGCTTTTGCAAACTTTTTTCCTCACTGCTTGCTTGCCTGAAATGACGGGAGTGAACTGCTCTGCATGCTGCTGCCTAACAGGGAGGTGTGTTCACACTGTCACTGCAGTGGGCATTTCCCTCCCATACCTCATTGTGGGGACTGCATCCCCACAGCAGATGGTGCTTTCAATATTGTGATTTTTTATCAGTTTTGAGCAGTGGCAGTCTGTGTGGTTAAAACAGCTCAGTGTCTGCCTGCACCACCTGCCCCTGTGCTGCTCTAAGGGTGCTGAGTAGACTCTGGGTGAAGACAAGAGTGCAGAACTAAAATTCTTGAGTAAGGAATAAAAATTACTCAGACATGTGGAGGGATAGAATGTAAGAAAATGAAGATAGTGCAGAAGGTAGTCTCACACCTGAGGAGTTGCAGCTGTACCAATCACCAAAGATTAGGAACAGGCCTGCCTTTAATAGGCCACAGCTGTGTCCAGTAGGAAGACGAGTGCTACAAAAGAGTGGGTTAGCTGGGTGAGGAGGGAGATGGTGTTTGCTTTTTGTGCTGTGAAGAGAGATGGAGTCAGTGCTGTGAGGAGGTGCCCATGAGAAATCACTGAGAAGGTATGGGAGATTTGCAATATAATAACAGCACAGACACCTCTTGACGAAGTCAAGGCAGTCAAGAAGAGCTTACTGCAGATCAAGTGTGTGAAATTAATGTTAGTAAATTAAAGTTAGTAAATTATATGGATTATTGTGAGGGTTGGAAGACCAGATCTGTGTTTGGCAGTTTCTCACTTGATGTGTTCCAAAAACATCTTTTATATTTTCTTCTGTTCTTGTCATTATCAACTTCCATATTTCTTTTATGATTCTGTGGGACTGAGAAGTTTGAAGTAATATTTCTACTCTGCCTGATAATGATTGTGCAACCTCCTCAGATGGTAGTCAAGTTATCCAACATATGAGAGAAGTTTTATTACTTCTGAATGGCATTTTTCCTTTACTTTCATATGCCAGCTCCAAAGTTTCTTTATATTTACAGAAAGCTTTAGTTATGACAGCTCTTATGCCTTCAGTGTATTCAAAGAAACCTGCCAATCCCTATTGATCCTAACAGGACAGAAAACACTTTAAGCCTTGAAAACCTGGCCTTGCAAGCCATTGGAGCACCCAGCATGGTCTAGCCCACAAATGGCTTCATTTGAAACAGAGAATCACAGTTGTGTTCTACTAAAGTTTTCACTGGGGTGGTTACAATTTAAAGATTATTTTTGTGGACTGATGTGGGGTTTTTTTTAGCTCAGGGCCTTTGTTGAGCTCTGTTTGCAGCAAATGGTATCTATTAGCTACTGTAAAATCCTATTTCAACATCCTTTCACACTGTGTCCTGCCCAGTTCTTATAAAACACATACATACAACAGGATTTACTGCTGATGGTAAAAGGTTAAATCGTAACAGGTCTTACTGCTCCACCCATTACAGGTCCCTAAATTCTACATTGCATCATTTCTGTGCAATAACAAGGACTCAGGGTCTAGTAATTTCTTAATGCAGGGCTCCTCAGTCTCTAGAACAGTTCAGCACTGTAGCCCTGATGGAGTTATCAAAATAACACACCTTCAGCTGTGAAATGCATACAGTAGAGCCTGCAGGCATACTCAAAACTTGCCTGTTGGATCAAGGCCAGCCTGGAAGTCAAGGACAACAGCTTCTAGAGACTGTTCTCAGGCACCAAAACCAGCTTTCCTACATATTTAACAGAGGCATTGTAATTATGATTGTGGTCACACTTGGCTTCTTTGTAATCATCACAGAAAGACCAAAATCTGAATTATTCTTTAGAGGTGTCTATTATTTCTACAATATTGCTTACTGTAAAGGCAACCTAAAGAAACTCAGATTTTTTGATTGATGCCTAAAGTTTTAAGAGAAGAATGTCAGTTTGACGGAGATGTGTCTGTGTCTCAGATTTCATTATATGGGTAAGAGATGTTTTTACATCCCTCTTCTGCTCCTTTACTGCAGGAACTTGAACACAAGGCCACCACCACCATCACCAGGAGATGCTTTCAGTATGGATAATGTGGAACATTCTCAACCTCTGCTTCTGGAGCTGCTTGTATATTTAACAGTGCACTGTTCAGAGGGACACCAGTCCTGCTGGCCAGCAGAACATTTCATGGTAGTATGGGATATACAGGTTTAACACCCTTCATCTGGGTAAATGAAGAACAAACCTCCACCTACTGCCTTACAAGAGGGCTAGGTGAGTGTCTGTTTCTGTGAGAAAAGCCAGACTGACAGGCACCTAACTCCAGGAAACAATAGGGATTCTTTTTCAAGTTTAGAGGTAATATCAGAGATATTGGTTGGTATCTGAGGGCCCCAGCTTCTAGCACTTCTGTACCAGAAGTGCATTGTGAGCCCAAGCAACTCAGGGACTGCTCACCACTATGCAGGAAAATGTCTAATAGTCATTAAACAGTGAGCCTGACCTTGGCCACATTCCCCATTTTGGCTCCATGAAGAATTTAGTGCCCTTAGCATCTCTGCACAGCACACACACAAATACACCCTCAACATTACTGCTCTATGTGGGGCTTGTAGCTTTTCATGTAACTGCTCTCTACCTCACTTAGCTCAAAACAATACCCTATAGAAGAGACCTCCTTGAATTGTAGTGTGCAAGCTGACTTGTGCAATTTCAGACGGTTTGAGTGGGGCTGTGAGATAGATTTATAAAGCTGCCATTCACCCTGTCATAACTTCTATGTCCTTGAAGACATAGAGGGGAAAGGCAAATGGAGAGCTGGAGCCAGGAGAGAGCTGATAATCTCACCACAAGTTAGATGCAGAAAAAGCTCATCCATCCCCACTGAAGTGCTGTTGGTGGACTGGTCTGCACTTCCTGGAGTTTAAATGCCTCGCTTCAAAGTAATATTCTTAATGTGAATAAATACCTGCTACAAATACAACTGTGTAAATGAGATTAAAAGGGTCAGAAGCAGGAACTTCTAAATGTTTGGTAACTATATCTAACTGTCGACAGACCGAGGGACTAC